TGGGGGGCCCCCCCCCCCCCCCCCCCCCGCTCTTCCCCTTCCTTCCATTTGCACTGTGGTCTTGAAGCGTCCATGGGTTCTCTGCACTGATGTTTCGTGCTTGGGGTTCGGTGGTCTGCTTGACCAGCGGCATCCAAATATAAAGGGCGAGGGGTTGTGCAGGCGCCGCTATCGATTGCTTCCGATCCATTACATGAACAGCTTATGTATCGTCCTCGATCGTGATTAAGGTTGGAGAAGAAGAAGACACGCAGTGCCACGAGGCCCAGGTGGCTCATCAAAATAAAGTAATAAGAGCAAGACAACGAAATCCCGGGCTGTCGTGGGCGTTGTTTCACTGCGGTCGAGCCCAGGTCAGACATCTAGCCTGGTCTGGCACCTTGAAGTCAATCATGTCGGGAGAGTCGAGGTTTGCCAAGACCGATTGAGACTGACCAGGTGAAATAGGGCCGGATCAAGGTCCAAGGTAGCGGATACTTCGGAGACAACTGAGGCCTATTTGCTGCACCGAAAGCGCCACGGGCATTCCTTCCTTCCCAGATGCGCCTCCATAACTGCAGATGAACATCTTGTCATGCCCCCCACCTAGATGACTTTGCTTCGTGCGAGTGGCTCAAAACGACCCAACTGGGTGCCCTCATTCACCCACCCAGCCCTCGCTCCTGCCGATGTTGGCAATGCTGCCTTTTTCCCGTCCCCGAAATCCGCACCGTGCCTGCCTGACCCCCCTGACCCCTGGCTCCCTGTCCATGGGCTCCTGCCCCCCAATGGTCCCTGTTGCCCGGCCCCGCTCTTGACGCTCGCAAAACACAAGCCTTTTAAGCCGAGCCAGATGACGACGGGTAAGTATCCCAGGGTTGCTCAACACAGTAAGGCGTCCAGTGTCCACCTAGAGGTTCAGCATCAGATCTAGATCCACTGGGTGCACCTGGCGGCGGCTTCTTGGTGACAGGACATTCACTTCCCCGACATCTTTAATCGCTCACCTCGCCCTCAGTCTCCG